GAAACACCTAGGGCCTAGCTAAGTTGTACAAGTACCTTGGGCTACTTGTTGGTGGAGGCACATTTTCAGCCAGTCATTTTCAGGGTGATAAATCAACTCTGTGGGCTGGCAGAGTAACAATGGTGACCCTATCACACTTCCCAAGATCACGATGCTGGGGCTCAGAGTGGCACCACCCTGTGCCCAAATCACTCAGCTTATAAAGAGAGGACAGAAGCAAAACCCCGATCTCAACTTAACACACCCCTGCTCTTTCCACTGAGCTAAGTTGTTTTGTTTTGTTTTGTTTTCCCCTCTAAAACCATCAATAACACTGGACATTTAAATTACCTCCTCAAGGGAAAATATATTAAAAGACAGCCAATTGACTAAAGTCCCTAAGCATCAGATTTACAGCTCCTGACAATAACACCCTCCCCTGCTTTAAAAAAAAAAAAAATCATTTTATATAACTCTTGGCATTAGAACCAGGCACCCTAGTCATTGTTACTTGTCAGAATGTCTCCTCTACATTGTCTTGTTCCACAAAGGAAAGTGCCAGTTTTGACAGCTGATGAGCGATGCGGTGAGCAGCTCACATGCTCTCGGGTTGTTTTTGGAAGTCGAGAGGAATTCACCCAAACCCCTTCTCCCCACCATGTTCCCCCAACCCTCCCACCTCCACCCTTGGCCCAGCCTGTGAAATCTGTCAGAACAGCTGGCTTTCGAATCTTCAGCTTTGAGCTAAATGAACTCTAAACCTAAGCTCTACGCCCCTGGGACTTCTTCACATGGCCCCAAGAGACAAAGACGTTCAGTGGTGCTCAATTAGTTGCAAATCATTAACAGCAGTCTCAGGAACAAGGATCACTCCTGTCCTTTCCTTTCCTGTGCTGAATGCAAGACCCAGCCCCAATGTCACCTCCTCTGTGAAGGTCATCCGATGCTTCTCCCACAGTGTTCTGTTCATGCCTACATTCTAGCCTTCTCTTGTCACACTGGAAGGTGCCACTTATGATCCATTTTGTCTCAGCCACTGACTAGATGCATGAGCTCCCACAAATAGCTGTGCCTCTATAAACCTCTGGTTCCTATCAAAACAGGTGCCATGCTAGCTTCAGGTCCACAGAGACATTGGAGAATTAAGTGAGACATGCCTGCAAAGTGCTTGCTACATTATCTGTCCTTATTGATTAGTCATCAAGACTGTTATTTTATTGCTACTTAAGTGTCTGTTACCTCATCCATGGTAACCTCCTTGTGCACCATTTTCTGGGGAACCAGTGTCACCCCAGTGTACAGTAGAGGCACAGGTTTATCCACCGTATGTCTCTATTGAATGATGGAATGAAAGCAGAAACCTGCACTTAGGGAGAGAAACTCTGGATTCAGAAAAGGACTTCAGGATTCTTGATTTGGGAAACAGAATCTCTGAATACATTTAGAGAATTAAAAATCTTCAGCTGAGAATAGAGACTGTATAAGGCTGAAGGGAGGGATATATACAAAAA